TGGGGGTGGGGTAGCAGGGAGGGTGATGACGGAAAAAAAACTGAAATTTGAAAAAAAAAGCCTTTTTGTAGAGAGGGGATGGGGTGGGTAGGCGTGAGGTGGGGTTGGGTGTGGGGTGGGGAATAAGGCGGGGAAGGTTGAGAAGGAATTTTGAAAAATATTTTCCCTTCTCTTGATAAGGAAAATATTTTCCTCCAATTGGAGGAAAATGAGTTCATAAGGAAAATGTTTTCCAAAACATTTAAGTCAACCAAACAAACCCTAAAAGAGCATGTTTTAAAAAAATAATAATTATAATAGGGATAACTTTTAATAGAAAAACTTGGGTTTTGCTTCTATGCTTAGCTACTCCATCCACCGACTGGTTTTTTTTTATAAAGTTGCCCAAACAGCAGTCTAGGTTGTGTTGTATTCAAAAAAGTGCAAGAGGGGGGCTAGGCCCGACCTCAGAAAATACAACAAAGGTGATGTAATCACCCCAAAAGAAGGACACGAGGTTTATATACCCTCCTTCCTGAGACCTATGAACAAAATTAACTAACAAAGAAATTAGATTTTTCATACTTTGTTCTTATACTAGAAAGTTACCATTTATCTAGGAGAAAAGGTCATTTTGCACTGTTAGGCAATTCTTGGAATGACTGATACACCCTTCTCTGATTTGTGGTGGTAGCCAATTTAGCAAGACAATCCGCTACCTAATTCCCTTCTTTGAAGCAATGCCTGACCGTAGCTCTAGTTTGTTTAATTATGAAGGATGCTCTGTCTATCACCCTTTTTATCTTCACATTGTTAGTATCTCCTTCCGTAAGCATATCTACAATGACCTTTGAGTCTAGTTCGAGAGAGAAATTAGTGTACCCATTTTGACTACACCATTTCCCTCCAAACTCTGTTGCTTTAGTCTCTGCTATGGTATTACTATCACAGCTGATAGGAATAGAAAAAGCCGTAATAAAGTCCCCTTGACTATACCTGACCACCCCTCAATGCCTGCCTTACCACTTTCTTTGTAGAAACTTCCATCTGTATTAACCTTGACAATGCCAGGTAGAGGGAACTCCCATGTAACTTGTATCCATTTTTGTGATGGTCTGAGTCTCTCTATTTTATCACATAATAGGGGCCATTCCATCTGAGTGTAGTCATCAGGTACAATGTTGGAGATAACTGCTTTCAAAGTCCATATGATTTGGTGTCTCATAGTGTTCAGCTGAAACTTCTTCTGTTTTTCATATCTGCACGCATTCCTTTGTTTCCAGAGTTCCCAACATATGATTGTGGGAGCTATCTGAAGAATTTGATTGTGCACTTTATTTTTGGCAGTTGTTTCCCACCATTTTTTGAAGGTAGCAATAATAGGCTCCTGTTGATGTTTGATTCCAAATCCTATGTTATTCCATATGAAGTTGGCAGCTTCACTACTATTAAACACATGTTGCACTGTTTCTACCTGCGTAGAAGAGAAACAAGAACATCTGAAAATAATGTTAGTACCAAATCTACAAATAACATCATCAAATGGCAATCTGTTTTGGAAAATTCTCCAAGTTATAAAAGACATTTTGAAGGGGATAGAATTATGCCAGATTTTGTTTATGAAAACATTCTTCTGTTTCTTGAATCTAATAGAATGCCATGCTATGTTAGAAGAAAATTTCCCATCATTAGAAATAGTCCAAACAAGGAAGTCATCCTCATTTGGGTCTCCTATTTCCAGGTGAGCAATATTATCAGTAATATGAGCACGGAGAAGATCATTGAGTTTTCCAATATTCCATTCTCCATTATTCATGAAGTCTTTCACCTGTACTTCAGAAGATCTCCCACCACCTTGTAAAATATTGGCTAAAGCGCCTTTACCTGTCCAGTTGTCCAACCAAAAGCTACAATTACCTTTTTGAATTTCCCATCTAATGTTATTCTCTGCTTTGTCTCTGATTTTGAGCATGTTTATCCAAATATGAGAATCAGTTGGATTTAGCCTTTTGTTCACTGGATGAGCTCTTTTGCAATATTTACTCTTGAGAAAGTTGGCCTAGAGGGAAGGATGGGTTCTGAATCCCCACCATCTTTAATTGCTAATCGTATCTATGATATCCTCCATTTTTCTGACACCAGATCCTCCCCCATCTTTAGGAAGACAAAGTTTGTTCCATGAAGACCAATGATATTTGTTCTTACCTTCGTTTGTACCCTAGAAGAAGTTTGCAAAGTGTTTCTCATGAGCTTAGTAATTCCTTTAGGAGGGTTCATAGCAGATATGATGTATGTGGGATCTTGCAGGACATGTTTAATCAAAATCATTCTCCTTCCAGAGGACATCATATTGGCTTGCCATCCATTGAGTTTCTTGATAATTTTAGAGAGCATAACGTCAAATAGATTGCTAGTCTTCCTCCCAAAGTATATAGGGCATCCTAGATAAGAGAAAGGGAAGGACTTATCCATATAACTGGTAGCATTTCTAATTTTATTGATTCTTGCTGCATAGGTGTGAGGGGCTGTAATAAAGAAGCTCTTGTCATTATTAACTTTCTGCCTAGAAGCCTTTTCATACCTATCAATAGTCTTTTTGATTAACTTGTTAGTCATGTTGTTTCCACCACAGAATATAACAATATCATCGGTATAGGCTAAATGATTGATCATTGGGCCTCTCTGATCCATGCTAAAAAGAGCGAAGCCAATAAATTCATTTAGCTCATTGAGAGATCTAGAGAGAACCTCAACTCCAATAATAAACAAAGAAGGGGATAAAAGATCTCCTTGTTTAAGGCCCTGAGTAGATGTGAAAAATCCAGTCCTAGCCCCATTGATAATGATAGAGTACCAGATACCTTGTAGAAGCCCCTAGATCATGTCAATCCAATTTTCAAAGAAACCAAATTTTCTCATAAGTGCCATCAGAAAGGTCCAGGAAATTATGTCATAAGCTTTTGCCATGTCGAGTTTTATTATAACATTGCCTCTTCTGTTCTTCTTGTTCACGCCTTGAGCAATCTCTTGAGCTAGAAGGATGTTTTCAGTGATCAATCTTCCTTTCACAAAGCCACTCTGATTCTTTGATATAAGTTTCCCAAGTACAGGATTCAGCCTTCTAGAAAGGATCTTGGAGATAGTCTTGGTTGTAAAGTTACTCAAACTAATAGGTCTCAAATCCGAGAAACTACTAGGAGAGTCCACTTTAGGAATAAGAACTAGGCAAGTATGTGTGAAAAATTTAGTGAGCCTCCTGCCATTGAAGATTGCTTGAACAAATTCAGTGATATCCTCCTTAATGATATCCCAACAGGATTGAAAGAATTTTCCATTATATCCATCCGACCCAGCTGCACTATCAAGACTCATGTTGAAAATAACATCTCTAATTTCTTCAGTATTAGGAATGACAGTGAGGTTTTCATTGTCATTATCAGTTACACATTGAGGGATACAATTGATGATATTTTGATCATTGAAGTGGTGATTGATGTTAAAAAATGTTGAAAATGATGGACAACTGCCTTGCCAATGTTAGCATCCCCCTCAATCCAATGGCCTCTGTGGTCTTTGATTTTAAGAATTTGAAGCCTTCTCCTTCTCTCTCTGATGGTGCTATGAAAGTATTTAGTGTTAGCATCTCCTTCTTCGAACCAGTTCACCCTAGATTTCTGCTCGAGAATGTTATCCTGCATCCCCATCCATCTAATGTACTCAGCTTGACCTTTGTTCAGTTCAATTCTAGTGATATCATTACTGTTCATAAGATCCTTTTGTTCAAGGTCCTTCATTTTATTTTCCCAGTATTGAACTTGGTTGAAAACTTTAGACCATTGAGTTAGCCTTCTGCTCAGCATTTTAAGCTTTTGTTGAAGTCTCCACAAAGGGTTTCCATTAACATGATTCCTCCAGACTTCTTCAACTACCTGCAAAAAAAGTTGGTTGGTTAGTCCAAAAAATTAAAAACTTGAAGTATTTAGGCCCCTGTTGGATAGTGTCATTGCATTGAATTAGAATAGGTCTATGATCAGAGCCAATTCTAGCCAAGTGGTTGACAATATTGTTTTGAAAAATCTGGGACCATTCATCATTGATAAACACTCTATCCAATCTCTTCCATATTCTTCTTCTTGGCTCCCAATTGTTACACCATGTGTATTTTGGACCAACAAAACCCAAGTCCATCATACCACAATATCTATGCAAGTACTGAATTCAAGGCTTTTATTCATTCTGTGAGGTCTGCCACCCTTTTTCTCATCCGGGTCTAGAATGACACTGAAATCACCCCCGATGCACCATGGACCATTCACCTGAAGATTGGTTAACTTTAAACTACTCAACAACTCTCCTTTCTTCAGGAGTACATTTAGCATATATTGCTATAATGTAGAGATCACTGTTGGCAGCCCCATAACGCAATTTGATAGTAAGTTGTTGCTCGTGATTGTTCAATACAGTAGTCATGTTGTTGCCCGACCACATGATCCAAATCTGACCATTCGTATTAGAGATAAAATGTGGATATCTAAGGAACCTCCTGCACCTTTCTATTTGATTAATACCGATAAAAGGTTCCATAATAGCAACAAGTTCCACCTTATAGATGGAAATCAATTTTGTTTAACCTTGGTAAGGCTTTTTTGGTATTTACTCCCCTAATGTTCCAAAATATAGCATTTATCATGGAAACAATTCAGGTTAGCATGAGTGTCCTCCTTTAGGAGGAGTAGTATTTTTGATTTTATTCTTTCTTCCTTTTTGCTTTTTCTTTTCTTTGGAACATATGATCTGAAAGGATTCATCCTTTAAATCAGTTTGTATTTGATCTTCAGGAACCATAACTGTCACCCTATTAGGGGAAGTCACTTCTATTTGTTGACTAGTAACATATTTGTCTTGTTTTGATTTGGATTCCATGTTTAGATCAATTACCATATCAATCCCAGGCAGGTTTCGACTTTCTGAAGGCATACTAGTTGACTCATTGACATAATCACTCATGTTTAAAGCTCTCTTTTCCTTCTTTCTGTTTTCAGGATCTTCATTCTCATTTTGATTATCATTTTCTTGAATTGACTCCTACAGATTCTCCTTTGTTTCATTGTTACTGTTATAGACATTCTGCTCCTACTTGCTTGTGTTGTTCTAGAGGGAACCTGACCATTGGCAGCCTTAAATTGGTCCCCCTTTTCACCATAATTTGACTGCCCTTGATCACTCACAAGCTTATCAGGATTATTGTCTTGATTCAAGTTTTGAAGAGCCAAGCTTATCTCTTTGTTATGCTTGTTCCTCCTGTTTGTGTCATCAGATAAGTTGAGTATTGGTTTGAAAATGACTTTACCTTTCTTCTTAGGCAATTTTCTCTGTTTTCTTTTTTTAGTTTTTTTCGTGGATCGCTCCTTGATGTTGCTTGAAGGCTGTTGCAGGTACTTATTAGAATCCATGTCACTCTTTTGCTTCAATTGGTTTTGAGTGATTCTGTTTCCAACCTGCCCATTGTTAATGTCACTTCCAGATTCAGCAGTCTCAGTTCCTCTGTTTTTATTATTCAGATTAGCACCAGATTTTCGATCATCAAATTCCCTGTTATCCTCATTCTGATTTTCAACAGTCTTTTGAGCCTCCAATTTCCTGTTTTTAGCAGCCTACTTTCTTTCTAAAGCTCTACAATTGATCATATTATGCCCCAATTTTCGACAGAATTTGCAGTATTTAGGGACTCCCTCGAATTCAATTTTTTGCACAAAGCCTTTTTGGGGGTATTATCATATATTTGACCAACATAGACAGAATTTGGTTGGTCCTTAAGCAAATCAATTTCAACTCTTACTTTGGCCATACTAGGCATTGTTCTTCCTTTAGTAGCTAAGTCCATTTCTAGAGGAGTACCAATTGCACTCACCACTTGTTTAACATAATTCCATGTGTGCATATGACAAGGTAAGCCAGGAAGGAGAACCCATACCGGAGCAATAGGCAGGTCCTCCTCCGGCTTGAAATCCGGTGACCATTTCTGGAGCCACATCTGCTGCCCTTCAATTTCAATAACTCTTCTAAACCAAACAGAACTAAAATCTTCTTCATTAGTGAAATCAAGGAACACATTGTACATATCGTAGACTCCAATCTTGATAGAGCCCTTAATCGATATTAATTCCTTGAATTTTGACCTAATTTTGTCTATTTGGGGCCTTGGTTTGAGGAATCTCCCAACAATTGTGAGTTTGCTCTCTTCAGCCATAACACCATAGTAGTCTGTTGCTTTGAATAGAACCGCCGGCATTCCTGCATGGTATGAGTCGCTATGACAGAATCCCTGCCATGGCGATTTGAAGAACTCGGAGCACTCAAGGAGGAGATGACCTTTGTAGCATAGGCCAATTTTGTGTCAATTGGATCAGAGGGTTGGTTCGCCATGGTATTTGGAGTCGATTGACCTTCCAGACACGCCGGAGCGGCACCGTCCGTCTGGTCCATCGGTTGGCGCGTGAAGGAAACAGTGGTTTATAATATAGCCGTTAAGGTTCTTTTTTAGAGAGAGAGAAGAGAGATATATGGATGGTCATTCCTCCACCAACTGGTTAGTTTTTCTGTATAGTAGATGCGTTTCCCAATCTACTTGCGGACAACTGCAGCTATCATCCACTGTTTTTTAACAATGTCATGATCAAAACTATAGAGTCAAGATTCGTTTCCTAGGTAAAATTGTTATGTACCAAAGTAACTAACAACGGATTGTGATCCGAATGGATCCTCAGTATATGTGTAAGGATCACCTAGTGCTGATGAGTTTATGATAGCAAGCAAGGATTTTAAAGAAGCACTAATAACATCATTGACGACCTCCCCCCCTCCCCCCAAACCTCCACTACTAGTCAAACCCCTTTGAATTACTTCTTTTATATTATTTTAAAGAATATTTCTATGAGTTTAAGTTGTATACAACAATATTGTAGAAAACTTATATATTATGAGGTAACCTTTATCTGTTGTAGCGATAGTCTATCTTAATACCATGATTGCAAATTCACATTTTAAGGAGGTTTACATGCACTACTCAAACCCAGTCTCCAAAAGTGCTACCATGCATAACTGGTTTATAATTGCTATGCAATGATATAAATTTCCAACGAAAGTCAGGACTATTGGCTCCCGGGCAATTCCAAATTACAACATTCATATATACTTCTAGTTGTGTTGGTCGAGCTCTCTTCCAATGTCAGCTTGGAGCTCAGTTCGTCTCTGATACAATCCTTACATTATTATTCACTGTATAGGTCGATGTTGCAACATTTTTCATAGTTGGTATCATTACTACCGCGTATTTGTAACGAAGATCAAGGATTCAAATGTTCAGCGAGCATATCCAGAGAGTTGGTGGACAACCTAGAACAAATTTCTTCTCTTCTTTCCTAGAACACCATTGTCCTTAGGCAACTTATGTTTCAAAACTCCAGCGTTACGTTCTTGCCATAAGGTCGACTTCCTCTTCTTCATCCTTGATTCTATCCTGTCAATCATATACTTTTGATACTCAATAATAATAAATATGTTTTGCAATGAGCAATACCATGGTTATTAAAATAAACACATAGGTTGTGCCGAGCCTATAGATCAAAAGAAGAGTTGATATAGTATGCACAGGCAACGTAATAGTGGCATGCAACTGCACATTACGTTCAATTGCTTAAGTACGTACATGTTGCTCATTACATTCGTTATTTTCAAAGGATACACCACCAAGGAAAGGAATATTTTGACAAAAGTAAATCTTTATATATGAGGTTTTATGAATGTATAATAAGTTAAGTAATTGTACTACTCCTATATCAAAGGTAAACTTATTCTACAGTCAAATATAAATATTCTATACTTACTCAGTTTAATTGGGCAAGCGGATCTTATATGCTCCGGACCATGAAATTGTAGTTGACATCTTATAGACTAAGTTATTAAACTATGCATTAGGAGTATTTAGAATGCTCTTTTCTTTTTGGTATTCCGTAAAGAAAGTAAAGCGCTCCCTAATTTAGACTAAGTATAATTTGTTACACCTATTAACTTAAGTAACTTTACTACAATTAAAGATAAAACATATTACAATATCTTTGCATTACTATGTTCAATGAATCTAGACTTATTGTGAATCTAAATAGATTCTGTCCCTTTTTTTACAAACATACGATATCCAGTTTTTCATACGCCGTTCGATATTAATTTATTATGGTTAAGTGATAAATTAATGTGAGAGCATGCATTAATTTTTTTCATACGAAAGGGTAGTAATGTACTTAAAATACTAGGTGCAAAATCTAAAAAGAGACATAAGAAGATAAGCATTTTCAAAGAGAAAGACTTAACAA